TAGCGACTGAATGGATACATGTCCTGGTGACGACCCCTGGTACCACGGTGCAGCATTACCTGAGACCGGTCACGTCAGTCGGCAGCGCGGTCAAGGCCATGGCGGCGATGTTTGAGAGCGCGAGCAAAGAGGAGGCGTTTGTGCCGTCGCCTATGCAGAAGGTTGGGGGGGGAAGCCTTGATTTGAAGCCGAGTGGGGTGTTGGCGCAGTATACGGTTAACCCTTCGCCGAGGAAGGGGGTTTCGCCGTCGAAGTCGATGTCGCCGTTGAAGCCGCCGCCGTCAGCTTGTCCGGTTAAGCAGATTGAGATGAGGAAGTCTGAGAGTATGCCAGGGGAGGTGGTGGAGAGGGGACGGACGTTGGTGCCGCCTGTTGTGCCGGTGAGGAGGTCGAAGGGGAGTATGGAGGCTGCGGCTGTTTGGGGGGCGAGTCCGGGGAGGTTGAGGAGTCCGGTTGAGGTTGAGAAGATGCCGGGGGTTGTGGGGGAGGGTAGCGATGAGCTTGAGGCTGCGATGGAGAAGGCGAAGGCTACTGGGGTTGTTGCGGGTGCGGAAAAGGGGGTGGATGAGGAGATGGTGGTGACACCGGCTCCTCCTGAGCGGGAGGCACCTCGTAGGCCGAGTTCAGAGGTTACTACACCGAAGCACCGTGTCAGCTTTTCCCGGACTACAAGAAACGATGACGACTCACACGTCACGGTCAAGGAGAAGTGGTCTGCACCTTCTAGAGCTTCGAGTTTTGGTGACCATCCAGGGTTTCCTGAGCAACAGCAGGAAGAAGAGGAGCGGAGTGCCGGCCGGCAGAAATCGCAGACGATTGCTCTGGAGGCTCAGATTCGCAGTTTGCAGATGCAGTTGGTGGAAAAGTCGGGGCAGATTACGCAGTTGACGAGGGAGTTGGTTGTCAAGGCGGATGTCGGGGAGGAGTGCGAGAGGTTGAGGGAGAGGTTGAGGGAGGTGGAAATGGAGAGGGATGTGTGGAAGGGGAGGGCGGAGAAGGCGGAGGAGAGGGTTGGGATGTTTGAGAGGGTTAGGGAACGGGCGAGGAGGGCCAGGGAGGTGGGTGGTGAGGGGGAGGGAGTAGGGGTGTTGGATGGGGTGGATGATTTTATGGAGGAGTGTTATACTGGGGGGTATGATGAGGTTGGGGGTTGGGAACAGAAGGGGGAGGTGGTGAGTGGGTATAACCAGCCGGCGGTTGTTATTGAGGCGCCGGAGCAACAGCGTCAGTATTTACAACCGGAACAAAACACCTTGTCTCTTCACCCCAGTTGGAACGGACAGAAGAAACCCGTCCACAGTCCTTCTCTCAGCCCGATGCCATCTTTAGAACTGCAGCAGGTTGAGCAAAGACAAGCAGGAGAGGAAAGTTTTACGGAAAGGATGAAGAGAAGGTTTAGAGGTTTGCCGAGGGAGGCGAGCAGTGCTATTGGTAGTATTGAGAACAGTAGGAGTAGTGCGGGGAGTCCGTATGATATGGATGAGGAGTATCCTGCGGAGATCTTGCCTTTTCCGCCTCCGCCTGTACCACCCAGGCATAGGGATAGGGACCGTGGGGATGGGGCTGATGGGAATGGATGATACGAGTAGTATGTGGAGGGCGGCGGAGGAGATGTTTAGTGGGGTTAAGAGGCAGTGTTAGACCGGGTGGTGATGGATATCATGACGGTTAGAGTAGGGGAGGTGGATATTATTCAGGGGAGTGGGATAGGTTTTATTCTGATGAAAGAGGCAGGGGGGAGTTGTATAGGTAGAGGAAACGTTTGTATAGCAAGCTAGTTGAGATAGGATGGGGTGGAGGGGGGGGGGGGAAGTGTCATACATGATGTTTGTTTCTTTTATTTGTGACTTGGTTGAGGTGACTTGTGTGACGACTGGGCCTTGTCTAAGCTTTGATTTGCAAGTGATGTTTTGTATCTTTTTTTGGTGCGTATTTTGAGAGTTGTAGAGTTGATTTTGTGGCAGGATAATGGTTACATGTCACGGCTGGGATTTGGAAGCTCGTCAAGCACGTTTTCCAACATCTTGCAAGAAACTGTCTTGGTAGAAAATAAGCTGCCAGGTAGAACAAAGTGATACCTCTGGCAGGTTGAGAGTAGGTATGATACTGGTTTTATCTATCTGAGAACAACGATGGGTGTTTGCACTACAGATACCTATTGGAAGGGCAAGTCTTGGCCAGTTTCAAGACTCAAGCGCCGGCCTTGCTTGTCTGTTTGAAGCTAGAAACTTGAATTGCGATTGTCCAAGTTGCAATTGTATATGTTTCTACAAGCGTGGCAGTGTTGAGGAAGTGTACGTAAGTAAGCTCAATCCCCAGATAGACATAAGACACCACAAGTAAACACATTCAACATCTACATTCAAATAACATGCCAAAATAAAAAAGGCCCCAATATATACAAGAAAAAAGTTTTCCACACACACACACACACACACATAAAAGACCCCCCCATACGCATCCGCTTGCTCTCCTTCTTCGATCCCTTTTATAACCCTCCAAGTCCAAAAATCTTCTGTTCCACGCGACTAGTTGATTTCCATCTTCCCAGTCGAGCCAAACAAAAGCAACCAATACATTTCCAAAACCAGCACCCCACAGCCCCCCAAGACCTCGCATCCCAAATAATGTATATCCATGTAAAAAGAGGTCCTGCGGCTGTTGTGTCTGACCGGAAAATCGCAAAAAATAGATTCTGGTATATCCAAAAAGATGACAAGCAAAAAGGTATCGAAAAATGGGGCTAGACCAACAAGCCAAAGATAACTCGCTCTTCTAGAAAGAAAAAAAATATGAGTATTGTCTCTCAAACCCTCTGACGCCAGTGGTAAACCCAGACATTATTGAATAGGTGTAGGTGTGTGCGGGCATGTACAAGTGTTACGCTGTAGATGAGCGCAGATGCTTTCAGACGCTATGCTTTCAGGCGCTATTGTTTTCAGACGCTATGAATCTTCGGTGAATCGAGATTGTGAGACGCGAGATCCGGCGTGTTGTACGTTGATACTTCGACCGACGGGATCCTGGACCTGGAGCAGATTGGGAAATGCGGAACGACGTTGACCGCCCGGCATAGGCGAGTGCTCCTCAATTGGCGTTCGTGCTGGGCCGTCGTGGTAAACGATAACACCGCTTTCGGGTCGCATCGGTGAGCCTAGTTGCAAAGGAGGGAGGTTCGAACTTTCGAGGAAGGCCTGTGAGTCCCTGTAGTAAGACGTGCCGACACTGTTGCGTGGATCCGGATCGGACCATCCATCCCCCCCCGACTCCAAGACGGATACCAACTTCCTCCCAGAAACGCGATAGAATCCCTTCTCTTGTGGTTCGGTCGGTGGCGCCTCGATGGCTCGGTTTCCGTTTAGCTTGGCAAGTGCGGATGGAACGGCGAATGGGAACCTGATCTGCGACATTCTTCCTGCGCCTCCGCTGGGCCCAGATGATGGACCGGATCCGAGACCTCTGCCGCGAATTGTGCTGTCTCCATCCCCAAGCAGCATGATTCCTCGCCCCTGCTGTTTCCTCCACTTGAGGAAAAACATCAAGACCAAAGCCACAATGGCGATACCAGCAACACTGCCCACCACTCCACCGACCACGGCGTTTCTGGCCTCAGGGGTCAGTCCAGGGCCAGGATCAGACCCAGTGTCGTCGGCCGTAGGTTGCGGTGCCGGGATGCCTCTTACGCCGCCGGCATCATCGCCGAACCCGTTGATCACTACTGTTGGGGCAGACGAGGTCGTGGTCGAAGTCAGTCGAGTGCGCGAGCTGGTGCTGCTCTTGGTAAAAGAAGAAGATGAAGTTGTTGAACGAAAGAAGGACGTCGAGGTCCTGGTGGAGTTTGAAAAGAGAGCTGGTAGTGTGCTGTTTGTAAAGATTGTGGGCGGTAGGCGCGCTGGTCATGGTGTTAGTTGAGGTCAACATGGACAGGAGCAAAGATCCAAGACGCACTAGACGAGGAGTTGAAGTTCCCCGAGGACAATATGGGAAACGGTGGCGTTATGCCAGAAGGAGTGGACGTCAGCGTCTCGACGGACGTTGACTGGAAGGAAGATGAGAACTCGGGCTCGGTCACGGCTGGAGGCGTGGGCGTCGGCGTGCCATCCTGGCTGGGATCGAGCGTCGGGTCGGGGAGAGACACGCTGGGCAATAGGTCGTCGCGGCGTGGTGAGGCCAGCAGTGACGGCTGCCGGGAGGGTGTCTATGGGCGACGGTGCGACGGGATCCGAGCGAAGGGTCGAAAGGCTAACGAGTGCGCCTGTAGCATCAACGTATTGGACGACAGAAACAGTTTGGACGACAACGACCTGGCGCGGCTGCAGTTTCGCATCGGAGGGGGAACGAGCGTGGTGGTTCGGTTGTGGTTGTTGGGGGTTCTCGAGCGATTGAGAGAACTCCCGGTGCAGGTGTCGGTGCTGGTTGTGATGGTTGAGGAGGATGGGAGAGTGGTTGCTGTGAGCGTGATCGTGGCGGGTGCGGCGGGCCTGAAAGAGTGAAGACCCGGGGCCACCAGCGGCTTGGTTGTGGTTAGTCATGGCGCTTGCGTAGGCAGCGCAACTGGGAAAAAAGTGGGAAAAAACGAGTGACGGCAGCTATTCGTTGCCCAAAAAGGAGTGTTGGGCGTGTCTCGGTGATCGGTAGTCGGTACGGGACCCGTATTGGTGTTCGCCTGGCAGGGCCCTAGCAGGAGGAATCCCGTATTCGATGGGTTGGCGGTGCTGCGTTGGATTGCCGCAGCTCGTAATGGATGTGGTGCTGCGTGATTCGGTGCAGTTGACTTGGCATAGTCATGGTCGCTATCATTCCATCGTGAGTTTGTGTCGACACCTTTTCTTAGGATCGTTGTCCTCTCCTGGCAATCTCCTCCATGGGGGGCTTCCGCGCTGCGTTGTGTTGGGTGTGTCGCTGTCCTGTGTTTGGGGCGGGATCTGGTGCTCCTGGGACTGTACTGGACTGCAAAGAGGGGGGGAAAAAAAGAAGAAAAAAAGAAAAAGAGAGAGATCGGAAAGGGCAAGAAACACCAAGCAAGGGCGCCGACGTGGATATAGGATCCTCCAGTCAGTAATTTAAATTGCTGCTGGCCGTTGAAGAAACAGCCCAGGGCTGGCGGTGGGCATCAAGCCTGAGCCTGTTCTGCAATCTCGCTTCCCACAGAGGGTTGGCTCTTCTTCAACACCCCCGACGCCCATTGGCCAATCACAGATGGCTCTGCTGCGGGATTGCGCGTGTCCACCCCCTCATTGGCCCACTCTTTCGATATGCATTCTTGGGGCCAGAATTGCCCTCTGCCTATCGACACCAGAAGAACACGAGCTTCATTTGGGGAACGGCCAAGTCAAGACGTTACACCAAACGGGAACAGGGCCTGCCATGTCTCACGTGTCGGCGGTGACCATAGGGGACGAGAACTGTCTCCGATACTCTGTATCATGAACAGATATCGGCGCTTCCACGACTCCATAGTTGACACTCGTTGGCTCCATCGATCGTTTCAAAATAAACCTCCGTTCCCTACCCTTCCCTGCCCTCCCCTTCGATATTGGGTAGGCACGGTAGGGTAGGGCAATCCGAGCCGACTCGGAGGAATCACGGGTACCGGAAGATACGCAGCGTAGCGCAACATCGGACGAAGAAGAGGGGGCTTTGGGTAACCTGCGTTAGCTCCAACTGCTCTGCTTTCAACTTCACCTCTTGGGCACTCACACTGCACTGCACTGCACTCCACCTGCCACCCAACCACCACCACATACATCTTTTGAAGCTCCAGTCAGGAACACAGCCTCATTTTGGCATGTTTGTAGAGCCACGTTTTTGCTGTCGTTGAACAGAGACATCCTGTTCTGTCTTACCCGAGATTTTGTGTAGTTTATCAGATCTTAACATATCGTCAAATTCAACTAGTCTAGCGTTTCTGACGTCATGCCATCAACCACAAGCTCGAACCTATCACCACCACCGTCTGTGCACTCAACCCTCCAGCTGCCAGGTGCGTCTGATCCCTACAGGTTGCCAACATGGTCATCTGGTCCGGGTCTGGTCCGCGATCCCCGCATGTCTTCGACACAGTCATTGGTGTCCTCGACGGCGGGGTTCCGAGTTGAGTATTGACAATAGGCTATAGAAAGGCGCAAGTTGCTGGTCATCTACATCCACGGCTTCATGGGCAACGATTCGTCATTCCGCTCGTTTCCCGCACACGTGCATGCTTTTCTCAAGGAGGCACTGGCCGAGACTCATGTCATTCACACCAAGATCTACCCCCGGTACAAGACATACAAGTCTATCGAGGTGGCCTGCGAGAACTTCAGCAAGTGGCTGATGCCTCATGAATCGCCCACCACCGACGTGGTATTGGTAGGGCATTCCATGGGAGGGCTTCTGGCTGCCGATATTGTCTTGTTGGTAAGTTTGTCTATAACAAAATAAGCAGCCACGGCGGTCTGTATTGGGGGCGGCCGCTGTTGTGAATATGTTCCACTGAGGCAAGGTCTTGAGCTAACATCAACCCCCATTAGCCAAGACATGACGCACCACCAAGCGGAGGACCTCCTTTCCGTCACCGGATCCTAGGGAGCATTTCTCTCGACGCTCCCTTACTTGGCCTTCACCCTGGTATCGTTGTATCCGGCATCGCCAGTCTCTTCAGGCCCTCACCTCCACCCCCTACAGCACTAGATAGGACATCTTCAGACTCAGTGATACCCAGGGATATTGCACCATCACCATCAGGTCGTCTATCTCCCGATGCCTCAATCTACGAGCAAATCCGGCCTCCCTCAGGGGCACCTTCCCCTACACTCGGACAATATCACTTCCCATCTCCACCTGCAGCCACAGAACCGGACCCAACCTACAACCCAACCTTCTTCAACGACGTCGCCTTCATCGATCGCGGCTGGATCAAGAACATAGCCCACTTTGCCCAAAAACACAAGCAAGAGAACCTCTTTGAAGCAGCAGCCAGCCACATCGTCTCTCATCTTGAATTCGGCGGCTGCCTCGCCGATTGGAACGGCCTAAAGACCAGGTACAAAAGACTCCGTCAACTAGAAGACATTGACGACATAGCCCACCCCGAACTCGGCCCCAGAGTCAGATTCGTAAACTACTACACCGTCTCCACCGGCATCCCAAAGAAGCCACGAAAACCCGGCACCCCCGACAATGGCCTTCTCAGACCGTCAACCTCGTCACCGATACAATCAGGGGTGTCCACCCCCAGGATTTCAATAGAAGACCACAGCGAGGCAGGCAGAGCTGCAGAGATTCTTCAGGTCTTGGACCCAACACCAATACCTGAAGAAGAACCCCTGGAGGAAGAACCGCAAAAAGAGGAATCTTCCTCCCCGACACCACCAGAACCAACCCAGCCACCACCACCTCCACCAGAAGATGACACCCTCCCCCCCATCCCAGATGAACCAACCCCACCTACCCCCCCGGATCTTGATTCCCTCCCCGACAAAGAAACCCGCAAACAAGCAGAAAAGGCTTACAAGCAGACCAAAAAGACATACGAAGAAGCGGTCAAATCCCGGTCCAGAGCCATAAAAGCCCGGGAGAAGGCCATTGCTCAAAAAGCCAAAGAAGAAGAAAAGCTCCGAGCCCAAAAAGCCAAAGAGGCGGAAAAGCAAGCCAAAGCCGAGGCGAAAGTCCGAGAAAAGGAAGAGAGACTACGCCAAAAGGAGCAGGACCGTCAGCAGAGGAATAAACTCCACAAAACCTCCTCTTTGGATCAACAAGAAGAAGATGATGAAGAAGCAGGTGGGAAGAAACGGCTCGGGAAATTCTGTCTTTTGCCTAGGGAACGGGACGACAAGTGCTGGGTTCAGGTCTACATGCGGGATGTGGACGAGGTGGGGGCTCATTGTGGACTGTTTTTTGACACGGCGCCGCATTATGAGCTGCTGGTGGGGGATGTGGGGGAGATGGTGGCTGGTTGGGTGAGGGAGGATGGGACGAGGAGGGTTGTTTTGGGGGAGGAGGGCGAGGATTTGGATTAGATTTTGTTGTAATGTGTAATCTTTGGTTGGTACGTACAAAAGACAGAGAACGAGTGATGGCATCAAGGTGTGTCTGTCTTTGGGGGGGATATCAATTGTTAGGCAGTACTACACCCCGAGGCTTTGGTTTTTTCGTGATGTGGCTTGGTATATTGACCTGGTGGTTGTGGAGCTTTCGTCAATGCAACAGAATTGCTACTTGACCAGAAACACAAAGTCGGATTTGAAGATTGATATCAAATCTCCCCCATCATCCCAACCCCTGCGGCAAAGACACCACGCCACAACCTTACATCTACGCAACAACCTCTCGGTAATCTTACCTGCAAGACTACGCCCTCCCCCCCCCAAAACCGGGACTTGTTGGCTCCCGACCCTAGACATGGGTTGTGGTAACCTTTGGTGTGGCTGAATGAAGGCGTGACTAAAACCATGGTCGTCTGAGTTGTGCTCAACTGGTACTCGGTAAGAACACGAGCAGATGGCGTAAACGCCTATCGCTCAACAACTGATGACTCGGATAGTGTGAATCACCACCGGCCTGGCCAGCAGGAAATATAAATATCTCTCCCGACGCGCATGCAACTGGGTAGACCACAACCGTCATCACCAAGGACTACCTATCAACTACAAACTACCTATCAACTGCAGCCGCAGAAGGAAAAAGGGGACATCCTGACGGACATTCGTAAGACCACCCATCCAATTGCACCAAATGTGGCTCCCTAGACAATACCTGGTTGCAACAAAAAGGTTCATCAAACTGAACAGCCCATCTGGAGGGAGGAACAACGCACATCACAATCACATCACGGCACACAGGAATAAGATAGCAAACGCTGCTTTATTATCGCTTTTCCACTCCCTCCTTCTCACACCCCATCATCACCTAACCCCACCACCATCTCTCCCTACTCCCCACCACATCATCTTGCCTCCCCCCGGAAGACAAAAGCAGCAACCTCACCAACCCCAAAACCACAGACCATATAGACCAGGAAACTCACCCACCACCCCTTGCGATATCAAAACTCCTCTCATAAAAAAAGAAGAAGCCAGCCGGTCAACCCTCTCTAAACCCCCTTTTCATAAACCCGTTTCCTTATGATCCCGGCCTCGGTCCTCCGTTGGTCCATGTAGGTCCCCTGTCCTGCTGCCCCTCAGCAAAGAAAAACAAGAATACAGAACCTCGCGCGCGTCAGAATAATCAAACCCCCCAATGTGCCCTCTCATCATGTTTCTCATGTCCTTGGTATGATCTTTGTGAACGTTTCCCCCGTCCCCACCTCGCCAAATGTCAAGAACGTTGAAATGCCTCAAGTAACCCTGGTCCCCCAAAAGGTATAAAGCTTGTTTGTTTGTTGTTTTGTGTTGTTCCCTCCCCCGGGGAATATCAAATTAAATGTAAAATAAAAAGACAGAACCTTAAACCCCAACGCCTTGCTGAAAAATCAAATTTGCAAAATGCAAAATATCAGTGTTTCTTGTGTCCCCCGATGATGCCCTCGATGTTAGCCCACGATTGTGGTGAACCCACAAAGCCAATGCCCTCTGCTCGACAACGAAAGCCATCCAACAAACGCGAAAGGATCGGTTGATTGCGATTGAGACAAGGCCGTATAGACTGACGGATACCGGAAATTCAAGTTGATGGGTATGTTTTGATCAAATCGATGCCGTACTCATCAACTATGCAGCTAGCGTCTCAAGTTCGCGGGTCGATACCAATCGCTGTTGCTGCCGACCACATTCGTTGCAAAGAAAAGGCTCCAAAAGCTGTGACCGTCTTTTCGTCTCGGTTGTCAACTCTCCGCGCAAAGAGGCAAGACAAGGCAAAACATTGTATGATGCGTCGCGGGCGAGCCAAGGTCATCGTCAACCGGTACACCAGGTATCACCCTGAACACTGGTAGGTGTGGCTTTTCTAATCGGCACGTGGCCGGCGTCCTCGTCCCTGTGCTTTGGCACCACCGTTTGCAGTTTGCTTTTTGGTAGCAGTCTGCGACTTGGTGACACGCTCGGGCGGCGGCTGGCTGGACTCAGCAGCTGGAGACTCCTAAGTTCCAGCGCCATAGACCGGTTGCCGGGCTTGAGGATGGGCCTGTGAGACTCCATGGGTCTGTTCACGTGTCAGTAAAAGATGTCCCCGATGCTCGAGATCAGCCATGAAGAAGCACCTTTTTTCTGCGCTTGTTCCCAGACGCCATATCACCCTCTCCAGTAGAGTAGCCTGACGCAGCGCCTGTGTCATCGTCTGGAAAGCCTTCGCCGTAGCCTTCGAAGCTGCTGTCACCGTAGCTTCTCTTCTTGACGGCACGCTTGGCCCTATCCTGGGCAGCGACCGGAGTGCCAACCTTGATACGAGGCTGTTGAGACCCTCCAAGGTTGAGCGGGGTGTTGGGTGCGGTAGGTCTGGCAGAAGACATGGCTCTGTCGCCCTTGCCGGGGCCAATCTCGCCCAAGACCGAGCTGTCCCAGACACTCTTGGGAACGACACCCTTGCTCATAGTCGTAGCACGCACCAGCTTGCTCTTGACCTCGGGGTTGAATCCGTGGTGAATATCCTTGCCCCTGACGTATCTTGCATCCCAAACATCCTCGGGCACCTGCATCAACCAGAGCATGCTATCCTCGCGGTGGGGATCTTGCTTGACCGAGTCGAAGTGGCCTTGAACGCCGAGCTTCTTGATGAAACCCTTGTACGTCTTCCTGATCGCATTCTTCTCACCGTTCGGAAGCACGCGGGCTACCGAGTCGGCAAGAGGTCCCAAGCCGTAGAGCTCAAAGAGATCTTCCGACACATGCGGGCGCGGCGTAGGATGGGCTAGAAAGAGCACGTGTTAACCAAGTCTTTGAACAAAAAGCAGTAGTCACCAAGAAACCACCGCATTCATCACTGAGTTTCAAGGGAGCCTTACGAGTTCTGCAAAGGAGGTATTTCTCGCCCACATCAAGGTGCAGGTCATCAATACCAAGTTTGCGGCCCTCGCTGTGCACCTTCTTCTGCTGTCTATCACCGAGATCGTCAAAGGCTCGCTTGCGCTTGTGGGGGGAGTCTCCGCCCATGACGACGTCCTGGGAGGCGTCGGTAGGTAGTGTGCTTCCGTTTACGCTGTGGGCAGGAGTCGGCAGAGCGGTCGTGATGGAGGTCATGGAGCTGCTCATGCTCATATTCTGGTCGCTCGTGCCAGGAGAGAATTGCGAGGGGCTTTGCGGAGTCTGAGGGTGGAAGGACATGATGGACCGACCGACAATGGCGAGATGATGCGATGTGGTCGGGACGGTAAGGGTGACCGAGAGAAAATCCTTGGCGCGACCGTCACCCGAGCGGAGTGGCGACACGGACAAAGAAAAAAAATTGAACCACAAACAAGCGGTCGGTATCGGATTCGCAAAGAAGATGGCGGCCTGGGGATGATAGACCGCTTCGCTCGATGGAAAAGTCGGAGATGCGATGCGGGAAGGGCCTGGGGCGGGGGAGGAGGTTGTTGTGGGCGAGTCGCGCGAAAGCGCCGACGACGGCTTCGCAGAACCTCAATCCAGCAACATGCACTCCTCCTGCTGCAGCGGCGGACTCGAAAAATCGGATTTCGGGGCGGTGAATGCTTTCAGACCGTTCTCTATGACGGGAATCGGTGGTTTTCGGCGGTCGCGGGCCTCTTCTGGGGCTCTGGGCGATTGAATGAGGCGGTTGGGCGATGGGCGGTTGTGAGGTTTGATGGATGATGATGGAGGAGAGGAGGTGCTGCGGTGCTCGCCTTCCTTGGTAGAAGCCGTTCGGTCACTTGGCCGCTCCCAGAACTGGACAGTGCGGAAGTCTCTTTCTGCCACACGCCCCACTCTAACCCACACGAACCCACTCTCCCTGAACTGGTCGCGCAACCCTCGCGCGCCAGCCAATCGGGTGCCTGCTTTGCATCCAGCCTTTTGGCGATTTGATCTCGACGGCCCGCTGCCCGCCGGATGTCCATTATCAATTTCCATCTTCGATAAATTGAGGAGATACCATTGCCATTATCCATTCAGTTATCATATCATTCTAAGACGCTATTCAGTTCTCTCTCTGACTCCGAGAATTCCGTGTGATTGATAAAGAGTCACACCAAGGAGCCGGCGTTTCTGTTGATCGGTTGGTCCATCGGACGTTGTCCTGCACACCACCCACCCAGGCAACAAGCGGCGGCCCCCCTGGACCGCCCTGAAGAAATCGGGCTGATGTGCCGCAAACCTACGAACCTCAAACCTCACTGTCCAGACCGCTGGGCTGAAGCGATCGCCGTTGCATATCCTCAGCATGTAGCACGACGTCATTTGGCTATATCCCATTCATGTCATTGTCAAGATGCTCATTATCACTACTATTCTCGATGATTTACAGCAGGGTTGTTGGAATAGAGAGAGTCACGAATATGGGGGGTTACACAGTGCGTGAGATGGGCTGACAAATCTGGAGAGCAGTGCTGGCGGGTGATGATAACCAGCCCACGAGCGACAACTCATGGCGGGGCCAAATTTCGATATTATCAAACGCCAGCAATCCACAACTCCACCACCCATATCAAACTTTGTTGAACACGCTCAAAACTCAAAAGCACTGTTGCATCACGAGCCGGCCCAACTCTGACACGTCGTGCGACTCTTCCCTCTCGACTCAGTGACCGCCCGGGCGACCGCGTCAGAGACCAATGTTTCGAAGTTGTCCAAGCACAGCCCCTCTCATCAAAGTCGTGACCATCACAGACTGGTCAACCCAAAAAAGACGACCCTCCCATCGCAGCGCCAAAATCAAAAAGTCGCTGTTAGACAAGTCGTGTTCGATTCGTTGTAATCCCCGTCCCACAATCCAATCGCCGCTCTTCCTTGCCACGCTCGAACCAAGCAAGCGTTGGCAATGAAAAACAAGACCAGAATTTCTCTCCAAAGCTGAAGAAGTTGGTAATTCCAAAAATTCCCTGCCAGGAACGAGTCCCAACAAGAGCGGTCAGGTATGTAGTTTTCAACTAGCAAAAACGCGATCTCGGACGAATCCTCACTGATACGCGTAAAACCCCTGCACTTGGATGGAGAAAAAAAAAGAAGAAGGAGAGGAAGTTGACGGGAGGGCGGGCGAAATTATATACACAAGGGGATTGGTCTGTGCACGCCTGCAAATTCGCACATGAAAAAGCGGGGCGTTCTGCCTGCTCCTGACTGCTGCTCCACAGCTGGCACTGTGTAAATCGGCGATGACATTGATTGTGGCTTGCAACACGCACTCACCACCCACACAAGGCAGTTGTTGGGCACTGGCAGCAATCCTCATGGCAGGAGTCATCTGACAGTGCTACAAAGTCCTTGAGCACCCTCTGCAGCGTCTATCTGAGGTTATACAAGCAGGAGCCCAAAAGAAGCACAAACGGCAAACCAAATAGTACATGGCTTCCAAAATAGTAACAATTTACATACAACAACTGCCCCTAATTCAGCAGTGTTTCTTTTAGTGTATAATACAAACCAGGGCCTCCATCAACTCTGAACTAGGTATATGAAACCTTGCTAGACGGGTAAACAACAGTGCCCATTGTTGTCTCCTTGGTGTTCTTCTGGCCAGGCAGGAAAATGCTCGTCACCAGATCACTCCTATGCCGCTTGATCATCTCCTTCAGGACCGAGCTCTCCACGACAATCCTGCCCGTCTCAAGCAAATCCTTGACATCCACATCCTCCAGCTCCAAAGCCCTGCCGTTCTCACCTGCCACCCCCATCGCGGTGAACAGGTTCATCCGCTCCTCCCCCGTGATGAATGTCGTCCTGCCATGAGCCTTGCCCCACTGCATCGCTCCGAGCATCTCGCCAACGTACTTTTCAATAAAGGCATCCTCAAGCTCGCGGGTCAAGAGGCCGTCCTGGGCTTGCTGGAGGAAGTCCTCAGGGAGAGGGAGATCGAGCCCGTCCTCGGTAACGATGAGCTCGCCACGGCGATACCGGTAAGAAAGAGCTGTGCGCCAGGCCAGATCGTAGACCTTGCGGTTGAGCTTGGTGCCGAAATCGCGGTTTCGGGGACCGTGGGATTTACCACCACCGCGCTGTAGCGGTGATTGCTTGTTGCCAACACGAGCTCTGCCCGAGCCCTTTTGTGGGCGAACCTTTCTGTGGGAACCGGCGACCTCCCAGCGAGTCTTGGCTTGGGCCGTACCCTGTCGTGTGTTGTCACCTTCGTAGACGACCGCAAGGTGAAGAATGTCGCGGCGGAGGGGGAGGTAGAGGTGCTTGGCTGAGTATGTTTCGAGGGAGCGGGGGGCAAGGTCGGGGAAGGAGTGGACGGTAACAGGGACAGTGGTGACTATTGCTCTGTTAGCAAGAAGATCACTGTTGTATGGTCATTCGTAGACCGAGTGAGGCTATCGCATACTGGGAGTCCATTTCTCAGCTACTGATCGTGTGATTTTGGAAACGGGCGCCTCGGTGGCCATGGACCGCCTTGATATTAACGGAGCTGTGCGGACCTGGTCATGGGCACAGCATATCAGCAAGACTGTCCAAATCTAACCCAGAACCAAGGCCGGACAGAAAATACACACTGGGACTGTTCTGCATGTTTGCGCACCGAGGCTCAAGCCCCTCATCGCCTCGCTGAGGCACCTCATCCCCTTGCCGGCCATTGCGGGGGGTCTGTCGTCGGCAATCGGTGCTCGACCAGAAAAGCGGCGGGTTGTAGAAAAAGGCCGAGTGAAGGCGCCCGCTATCGTCCCTCCCAAGAATGACCTTATATCCGCTCTGTCGGGCAATTCGCGAATATCTTGGCTGTCGCTGGCTGCTGCTCTTGAAGCTCTGAAAAAAGATCTGGAGTCGTTGGCGCACAGACGCTTGCCAGGCCGGACGTTTACTGGACCCCTGGGCGTGCGAGAAGCTGACTGGATGAACCGCCGTGCATGGGTCCACGAATTTTCTCTATCGGCGCCGGCTCAAGAGACAAGCGAAAGGCCGACCAGATCCTCAACAGCTCAGGGCATAGGTGGAATTGGGAGCCCAAGACAGCTCCAAAATATTCAGAAATCATGTCGGGGACTCAGCAGGTTGCCCGGCCCCTTGTGCGGTCTCTCAGGCAAGCTACCAGCACCACGGCAACATGTCAGTCCAGGCCAATCGTCGCCGCTATTCGCCAATTTTCGTCGACCCCCAGTCGCAGCGATGAGCCCACGACGACAACCCCCGCAGGATCTGATGCGCAGAAGCTCGCCGCTGATGCTGCCGTTCTTGTCCAGAAGAAGGCCTCAGAGATCACAGCAATCAAGCAGGGATCAGAGGAGGAGCTGGCCAAGCTGCTGTCACCAGAACTTGGTTCTAGGAGAAGGAGAGCTGCTATTGCTACCACAGGCGACATTCCTTTCGAGCAGCTGCCATACCAGTGCTTCCAGGAGGCCCGCAAGGTTTTGGCCAAGGACAGGGAGGAGAAAATCGCCAAGATCAAGGCAGAGTTGGCGAGAATCAAGCGGATAGAGCAGACAGACGCCAGCACTTACAGAGGAGGCGAGGTGTTTAAGCAGAAGCGGTTGGAGAGTTTGAGGAAACATGTCGAGGAGCTCAAGATTCAGGCCGATATCAACGACCCCATGGTCAAGAGGCGGTTCGAGGACGGGCACGGTGCGTTGATGTCCTTTGTAAACTGCCGCCAGCTTTCACTAACATGCACCCAGGTGACATGAACAAGCCCATCTACCGCTACCTTGCCGAAAACAAGTGGCGCTCCATGGACTACAAGATCATCACCCAGCGTATCCACCAGTTCAACATTGTCCCCGACATCCTCCCCAAGTTCGACCCAACCATGGACGTCAAGATGACCTTCCGCGGCTACAAAGCACCCCCCGGAACCATCCTCGACTCGCTCATCACCGAAAGCCCCCCCAACCTCCGCATGCAAGTCTTCAACTCTGGCGAGCGTCTCCTCTCCGTCGTGGTAATGGACTCGGACGTTCCCAACCCGGAGACGGACTCGTACGGCCGCCGGCTGCACTTCATGGTCACCAACATTCCCTGGTGTCCCACTTCGACTTCCCTCAACCTCCACCGTCTCAACTCCAAAGCCAGCTCTGAATCCCCCCAGGGCGGCCTCCCCGAAGACGGCACCCTCGCCATCCCTTGGCTGCCCCCCACTGCCCAAAAGGGCTCACCTTATCACCGCCTGAGCGTGTTTGTTCTTGAGCACAACAACAACCAGCCTCTTGATCTTGCCAAGCTCAAGGAGATGTACGGTGGGAGAGAAGGGTTCTCGCTCAAGTCGTTCAGGGACAAGTTTGATCTTAATCCGGTCGGGTTCACGCTTTTCAGGAGCGTGTGGGATGAGCATACGGCTGAGGTGATGGCGAGGCATGGTATTCCGGGGGCGGATGTTGAGTTTAAGCAGCCGCGGGTGCACTCGCTCAAGCCGCCTAGGAAGGCGAGGGGTTGGGAGGCGAAGAGGCAGAAGCCCAAGTACAAGAGCTTGTGGAAGTACTCCAAGAGGATCAAGGGGCTCAAGTATTAGGGGGGGAGAGAATGAAAATGGGGTGGAATTGTACTATAAGTGTGTATTGGGTGTGTTTAAATGCCATGCCACGGGCTGTATATTAGACATGTTGAATACCATGTGGGCGTTGAACCTTGTTCATGTTGTTGTGTGCAATATATACGAGCAAAGACTGGGGCTCGAAGCTCAGGCTTTTGGTCAGTCTTTGCACGCCTGCCGGCCACCGTGAAGACATAGATCTTGGAGCTATACCTCTTTACTTGACACCGACGTTGCTAAGAAGAGATGGACGTTATATTACATGGTATAAAGTTGCCATTTTGGGAACTCAAATCCAAGACACAGCCTAGCTGAGCCTCGACCACTAAGGCTATGATCGGATAGCCTTCAAAGACACTGGTGGCGCATTCAAGGGTGACCACAAAACCCCTTTGTGTTGCCGATCAGCTTGATCAGGCCTGCAGCTATCTTCCTGGCCACTCAGATATCACTTGACTACTCGAGCTAGGAAACAGTTCTGATCCGAGACCATCTATGCGAAGTGGTTGTGTCATCCACTGTAAGCGTTAAGCCTCGTCTTATCTCTGGTGCTTCCGAGATGGGACGACGTTGAAAGTTCCACGTATAGGGTGCTTGGCAAAACCGACGACCAGTCTCCAGCAACGACTCTGAAGAAATAAATCAAAAAGAATTTTAAGAGTTTAGAAAGCCGTTGGATTTGTCATGACTGACCATGGTGACATCAACGTCCAAGCGGCGGGGTTTCTGGTCGACGACCCCTCCACGGCAACACATGCTCGTTTCATCACTGTCTCACAACCGGCGGCTTCTGGGAACCCCTTGCCCGCAAAAGAACCGACTGAGCTCGAATCCAGATTCCAGAAGAGGCCGCCCTCTGACGGGATTCGCAGTTTATGATCGACCTCGACAACCACGGGTCTCGAGGACAGTGGAAACCTTGGAGAAGAGCCCAGAAGCTCTCGGTGAGGCATGGCATGATATTGAGTCCCTGAACATCATCATCATCATGGGAAAAGTTCTGCAATGCCTGGAATTTTGTGAGTTTTGCGTAACCGCCATCATACTTGCTGGTCAATATCATCAGTCCATTTTGGAGGCCTTGAGACGGGTGATCGTGATGGGCAAGGCACCTTGTTTGATAGATACCTGACTGAAGAGTTGATGTCTCTGATAGGTACTGCAAGATACCACCTTTGATAACGCCCGCCCTCCACCCCCTAAAAGGTAGCTAGCTATAGTGTTAGCCCTCAACCCACTTCCAAACGCCGGACTACGGGTCTGGGGTGCGGTGAATGCCACCTAAAGTGTTGAGCTTTCAATGTTCGGATCCGGTCTGGGGTAGGTCGTACTCCTGCAGTTTGACAACAGAGAACGGGCTCGGCATAGTGGGCAGTGCGTGTAGATGATGTCTGGGGATGGGGGAATATTCCCCCCGGGCCCTCTGTGCCGCTTCATATGCCCCCATCTGGACGATTCGAACTGAAGAGAGCGGACTTTGTAAGATCAATAAACCCCGAGGGGAAAACGGTCGGCGTCGTCATCGGCTTGATTGTGGAGGTGAAGCTTACCAAGCAGCAGCAGCAGCCCTCTGACCTGAGGTGGAACAGTGAAGCAGAACACCCTGAATTTCGGCCGCCAGCCCGTGCGCTCAGTCACCCAACCCCAGCCCCCACATGCCACATGCCTGTCCTGCCTAACGTCGTCAGGTCTTGGTGATCGCTCGCGCGCGTCCCCCGCTAACGCAGCCCGCTGGGGACACACTGAACTGGGGCCCTGACACCCGACACACCTTAATATGGGCACTTTGCCGCAGCTCTTCTTTCTTCGTGACTGTCTTGCCTCCCTTTTGCTGGTTTCGAATCTTTTCGACTGTATATAACGAACAGTCAATCCACTCTCACACCGTCGGCTTGGTCGACGACGACTATAACGAAGAATCGCAGTTGCAATTCCACATCGATATCCTGCCGTCGCTTCCCCGGTTTCCCGACAGCCTCTGCTTCAATCCGCGGCGTGGCTTGCCTTCGTGCGACTCCTCCCGCTCCAAGACATTGGATCCCAGCGAGCTGGCTACAGATTCTTGGAGGGACCTGAACCTCCACTGACCCGAGCTTTGTGCTGTGTCACAACCGAAGCTGTCGAACCCACACGAATGACCCCGCGACCGAAGAAGTGCTGAGGTGATATTCGGATGTCTTTTGTCGGCATAGCAGTCGAATTGTATCCAGCAGCAGCTCAGCCCCCCTATACCCGGACCATCCGGCACACTTTTCCCCTGATTCGACGACAGCCCGCAAAGAAAGGCTAAAGAGTGGACGGTAATAATAGCAACCCTTTTTCTGCCCGGCGCCTACGATAGTGATACTCGACACACCCTCCTACCGCCCCCTCCACACTTCATCGTCCCGCTCGGCCCCGCCTAATATCTATATTATCGATTGGTGCTCGCAACGGTTTCGACCGATCTGACATAGCTTCTCGCTACCTCACATTGCGCTTTTGCCATTTTGATATCGAGTTTGCGACGAACGAACGCCGGTTAGGCGATAAAACTATTCACAATGGACCACATGCACGGGGGCTTTCAGATGCCCATACAACCACCACCGCTTATGAATCCACCACCCCAGATCTTTGGCGGCTATGCTGAACATGGCATGCCTATGCCGCAACTACCACCCGACCTTATGGCTGCGCAAATGTTTGGAGACCATGGGCTACTTGAAGACACAAACGAAGCAAAGAGGAGGAGGATCGCAAGGGTGAGTTGAAGCAATACTTGGTCTCGACGACGGGATGTGGCGTTTTGCTGACCCGCTGGGCAATCTGCAGGCATGCGATATGTGCAGGAAGAAGAAGATCAAATGCGACGGAAAGTTACCAGCATGCACACACTGCATCAACTACAAGACCGACTGCGTCTTCACACAGGTGGAAAAGAAGAGGAATCCGCCCAAGGGGTGCGTATTTAGGACAAGCTCGGGTTTGCTGTTGAACCATTGAGCTGACAAATCGACCACAGGGCCAAATACATCGAAGGTCTCGAGAACAGATTAGGTCGTATGGAACACCTGTTGAGGCTGTCAGGTACGCATAGCTTTTCCCCAACCATGGCTTCCTTAAATAGCAGCTTAACTTGAGGGCGTGGTCCACTAACGGTCTTGGCGCAGGTCTGCTTGGGGAAGATGACAATGGCGCTACCGATCTGGGGACGTTGGAGAAGAAGCTTGCGGAGAAGCAGCAGCGGTCGAGACAGGCTTCTCAGGCTGCGTCGAATCCAACGTCGCCATCACAGGCCACGTCGGGGCATGATGGCAATGTCTCCACTCCTCAGAGCTCCTTGGCTTCGCCGGAGCCAGCAAAGGATAGTAAGGATAAGAGTAAGTCTATCACGCCAGAAAAGGATGGAGAGGGAGAGGAGCAGGAGGAGGTTGCTGAGCTGAGTGAGATGATGTGCTCGCTGGTCACCAATAACATTGGTGAGACGAGATATATTGGTAAGTCTTTGGTCTATGATCAGCTTGCCACTTGTTACTGACACGGGAAAGGCTCCTCGTCCGGTTTCTCCATCTTCTCACCCAAGGGTATCCAGTGGGTGAATGAGAAGATGGGCGATTCTTCGTTCCAGCAGATGATCTCTGATGTCTCGATCGACGACCACAAGTGGACTGCATGGAAGCCTGATGTGTTTGGTGACCTCTTCCGCCGAGTCATCTTCCGTGACCTGCCACCAAAGAACGAGGCCCTTTCGCTGCTCAAGGACTATTTCGAGAACTTCAACTGCATGTTCCCGCTCTTCCACCAACCGACGTTTATGCATCTGGTAGAGCGACAATATTCCAGCGACCCATATACTGGATCTGGATGGTGGGCGAGTTTGAACGTGGCTCTGGCTATCGCTCATCGGCTGCGGGTGATGAGCAACCTTGTACCACAGGAAGAGGACGACAAGGCTTGGGCATACATGAAGAACGCCATGGCTTGCTTTTCGGAGATTGTGATGCGCTGCACGGATCTGCTTAGTGTGCAGGCTCTGCTGGGTATGGCTATGTTTATGCAAGGCACTCCTAACCCGCAGCCATCGTCACTTATCATTGCGACTGCCATCCGACTGGCGCACACCATCGGCCTTCACAAGAAGGGCACCAACTTCAATTTGAACCCGATCGAAATCGAGCAGCGCAAGAGAGTGTTTTGGATTGCCTACATGCTGGACAAGGATCTTTGCCTCCGATCAGGAAGACCACCGGCACAGGATGATAGCGACATGAACGTCGAGCTGCCTGACGCTGACCCGGCGGATGGCATCGGAAACATTCCGCTGGCGGACGGAAAGGGGAAGATGAACCTGTTTAGGGTTATGTGCGAGCTATCCATTGTTGAGAGCAGGGTTTACAACAGGTTGTACTCGACAGAGGCGACAAAGCAGTCTGATGGCGAGCTCTTGAACACCATTGGCGAACTCGACCAGGAGCTTGAGGACTGGAAGGACAGGATTCCCATCGACTTCCGACCGGAACACGAAATCAAAGCATCGCACACGCCGCTGATTCTGCACATCGTCATGCTGCACTTTAACTATTACAACTGCTTGACGACAATTCACCGGATGTCGATTCATCATGGGTATTGGACCAGCAGGTTGTCCAACTATGCTATTCAGGGGCTTAATGCTAGGCCATTGAACCCTCGCATTTTCTCATCGGCGGCGTTGTGCACTTCGGCTGCTAGGGCGTCGATTTCTCTGCTCAAGTACATCCCTCAGGGGGATTTCTCTTGTGTTTGGTAAGTTGCTCCCGTCCGATTCTCGGCTGCGTAATTGCTAATTATTATGTAGGATGGTCCTCTACTTCCCAGTATCAGCCCTCGTTACCCTCTTCGGCAACGTGTTGCAAAATCCACTGGACCCAAGAGCCCGGTCAGACGCAAAGCTTATGAACGTGGTGGTCAACTTCTTGTCTATGCTCGGCGTAGAAGCCGAGACAGGTGGTGTCCACCGTATGCTGGGAGTTTGTTCAGAGTTTGAGCGGATTGCAAAGGTGGTGGTGGAAAAGGCGGAGAAGGAACACGCCAACAGGCGGAAGAGGAAGAATACCGAGCAACCAGCTGCCAAAACAACTGCTACCGGGGACTCCCCATCCTTCAACCCCAACCCAGCAGCCGCCGCCCCTACACCCCGGCCGACAACAGCCGGCTCTGCCACACCACAAGCATCCCATTCCATGAACAACCAGCATCAGCCCCCGAACAACAACCTTTCCTCACCACCAAACGACCACCGCTCACCACCAAACACTGGATTCGGCCCGATAAACGGCGCCGCCAACGGCCAAGGGACAATGAGCTCGAGTTCGTCGCCTGGTATGGCGCCAACGGGGTGGCATGGGGATTTTGCAGCTGCGCCTCCGAATGGTGGAGGCGGTGTTCCGGGTGGTGGTGGTGATTACGGGGGGTATGATATGGGAGGATTTGATCCGATGAATTCAGTTACGATGGGAGGGACAGGGGGACTGACGAGCCCGCCGCTGGGGGGAGGGTTCTTTCAGCAGCCTATGTTGCCGCAGGACTTGTTTAGCTTGCCGATGACGTTGGATTGGGATTGGGCCGAGATGAGCGGGGGGGCGTATCCTAGTGTGGAGAATGGGAATTTTGGGGGGGAGGTGTCTGGGAGGATGTAGAGGTGGGAAACGGGGGGGGGGGCTGTGGAAAGGTAAAAAGAGGATTGGGCATCTTTGGAAAGGGAAAAGGGTGGATGGAATGATATGGGAATGGAAATTCATGGGTGGGCGTGATGGATTGGCATTGGGGTTTTTTGGGATTTTGTTTTCTTGTTGTTGTTGTTGTTGTTGTTTTGAACGGATTCCCCCTTTTGTTTAGTTCAGTTGATGATTTTCTTTGGGAAGCATTGTTGTGTTGGGTGGTTGCATGGGAATGTGTAACTTGCTATGGGTGAGGAATATGGGAGGGTATATAGGGGCTTGAATCAGAAGGACGTCTCTGCTCAGGTGCATCTTCTGTCTTGTTTTGCTGCTAAACATCAGATGAATGGATTGGTTATTTAAAGGTATCTGCAGTAGCATCAGGATCTTGAGCTTCAAGCTAAAGCTCGTCATGGTCGTTGTGACCAAGCTAAGCATGCTCACCTGCCTTCTTGTGGACTCCATACGTCAGCACCACACTGCCTACGGAGGAGGAGCCTGTCCGGGCACTTTTGGGGGCTATGGAGCTTCTGTATTTTGTATAGGCTTTAGGCCAGGAGTCCGATAATTCCATAGCTTTGTAGCCCCTCCCCCTCCCCACGTGACTCGGCGCTAGGACATTTCGGGATAAGGTCGGATGAGCTTTAGGTAGGTGTTTCTCGCCGCACAGCATCATTCATCGAATGGGATTTTGCAGAGCTTTCGTACAGGGAGGAAACCCTTTTTGCTGTCAACACTGCGGCTCACTTGAACCACAACAACAGAAAGTTGGGCTTGTTCAAAAAGACTGCCCGCTTCCTGTAGGCAATTTCAACGAGTTTTTCCTACAAGTTGCCGCTAGTGGTTAGTGGTGAGAGCGCAGGCGGTGGGCCGCTGCTTATCAAGCTGATAGAAAAGGTCACGGTTTGTTTTAAACTGCTGCTTGCTGGTTCGGGTTGCCAAGAAATCCACCACACCTGCTGCTGGTGGTCGGTCCTTTCGCAATCCCGCATCGCATCACCACATCCCACCATCTTTCTCGCCTGCGTTCTTGTGGTTGTACGCCACAACAAAACCGGACGCAGCTTTTACAACGAAGGGGAAAAGGAGGTCGAATTGATTTAGACAAGGGGACATAAGACACAACAAAAGCAATGTTCCGATCCCCAGCCTGCCGACTGGCTGCTCTCGGCGGCGGCGGCAGCGGCGGCGCAAGGAGGAGTCTACCCCTCCGAGCGATCACAAGCCCAGCTATTCGAGCAGCTCGACACCCCCGGATTATTTCGTCCTCCCCAGCCGGTTCAGTTTTTGTTCTCTCGAGAAGATTCCAATCGACCAACCCCCCCCCTCCTCCTGCCGGGCCACCCGAAAACAACAACAATGACCACCACCGAGACGTCACGACACCACCAGGAACCGAAGAAGAGAAGCCAATACCCCGCGGCTGGGTCCGCCTGTCAGAGGAGGAGCTGAAGAAGGTGGAGAAGCTCCTGGGTGTGATACAGATGCCGCCGGAGCTGAGGGCGATCTTCGACGTGAACAAAGTGCCGGGTTTGCCAAAGGAGTTTCATGACATTATGGTCAAGAACTGGACGGGGGATTTCCCTAAGCTGGGGATGATGGATGCGTTGAGGGCGATGAGGTACTTTCCGAAGATGCTGGAGGATATTCAGGAGTTTCAGGCGCAGCAGGAGGAGGTCGAGGAGGAGAGGAGGAAGAGGGCGGAGAGGGAGGCGAGGAGGGTGAGTTTTGAGAGTAGGAAGCCTGGGGAGAAGGAGGAGGGGGAGAAGCAGGATGGGGAGGGGAAGCAGGATGGGGAGGGGAAGCAGAAGGGACAGCAAAGGAAGAGGGGGACGCCACCGCCTAGACCGGGATTCCAGCTGTCGGACACCATGAGCTGGGTGGTGGGTGCTATTTTGCTGTATCCCCTGCTGTCGCTGTTTATGGGTGGGGATAACTCTAGGGAGATCACCTGGCAGGAGCTGCGGAGGACGTTTTTGGACAAGGGCTTGGTCAAGAAGCTGATTGTTGATCACGACCGGGTCAAGGTTGAGCTGGATAGGGAGGCGGTCAACTCTGTTTACCCTGGGTCTACTGCTGGCAAGCCTGGGTTCCATTACTACTTCACCATTGGCTCTATTGATGCCTTTGAGAGGAGACTGGACGAGGCGCAGCAGGAACTGGGGATCCCGACCTCGGACAGGATACCGGTCTCGTATGCCTCTGAGAGCAACTTTAGCAACTTGTTGATTGCTTTTGGGCCGACGTTGATGATCATGGGTCTGTTGATCTGGTCGGCGAGACGGGCCGGTGCTGGTATGGGTGGTGGTGGCAGCGGCGTCTTTGGTTTCGGCAAGAGCAAGGCCAAGGAGTTCAACCATGATGCGGCTGTCAAGGTCAAGTTTGCGGATGTGGCGGGTATGGATGAGGCCAAGACGGAGATTATGGAGTTTGTGAGCTTCTTGAAGTCGCCGGAGCGGTTCCAGAGGCTGGGTGCCAAGATCCCGAGGGGTGCGATCTTGTCTGGTCCCGCCCGGTACTGGCCAAGACGCTTTTGGCCAAAGCCACGGGCTGGCGAATCTCAGGTGCCGTTTTATTCTGTCAGTGGCTCCGAGTTCGTCGAGATGTTTGTCGGTGTTGGTGCCTCGAGGGTTCGGGATCTGTTTTCGACCGCGAGAAAGAACGCTCCCTGCATCGTCTTTATCGATGAGATTGATGCGGTTGGAAAGTCCCGTTCGGAAGGCGGCGGCTTCAGGGGCGGTGGCAACGACGAACGGGAGTCGACGCTGAACCAGATCTTGACCGAGATGGACGGCTTCAACACCTCGGAGCAGGTTGTTGTGTTGGCCGGCACGAACAGACCTGACATTCTCGACAAGGCTCTGATGCGTCCTGGCCGTTTTGACAGACATATCCACATTGATCGGCCGACGATGAAGGGTCGTCAGGAGATTTTCAAGGTGCATCTTAAGAAGATTCTGACGAATGAGGATTTGACCTACTTGACTGGTCGGTTGGCCGCGTTGACTCCTGGGTTTGCCGGAGCTGACATTGCCAATGCGGTCAACGAGGCTGCTCTTATTGGTATGTTTTTTCTCACTTTTTCGTTTCATCGTAAAGTCTAGTGCTGACTATTCTCATAGCTGCTCGTGCCAACGCTTCCAGTGTTGCCATGATCCACTTCGAGCAGGCCATCGAGCGTGTCATTGGTGGTCTCGAGCGCAAGTCTCTCGTCCTCGACCCCGAAGAGAAGAGGACAGTTGCCTATCACGAAGCTGGTCACGCTGTTTGCGGCTGGTACTTCCGGTGGGCTGACCCTCTCCTCAAGGTGTCCATCATCCCCCGTGGCCAGGGTGCTCTCGGTTACGCCCAGTACCTCCCCGCCACCGACGCTTACCTCATGTCGACCAACCAGCTCATGGACCGCATGGCCATGACCCTCGGCGGTCGCGTCTCTGAGGAGCTTCACTTCCCCACCGTCACCACCGGTGCTTCTGACGACTTCAAGAAGGTCACCCACATGGCCACCACCATGGTCACCCAATGGGGCATGTCCAAGAAGCTCGGACCGCTCCACTTCAACAACGACGAGAACCAGCTCAAGAAGCCGTTTGCCGAGTCGACCGCCCAGATGATTGACGCCGAGGTCCGGAGAATCGTGGACGAGGCGTACAAGCAGTGCAAGGACCTGCTGACGGCGAGGAAGAAGGAGGTTGGGATTGTGGCCGAGGAGCTGCTGAAGAAGGAGGTGCTGAGCAGAGATGACCTGGTCAGGCTGCTGGGACCGAGGGAGTGGCCGGAGAAGGAGGAGTTTTCCAAGTACTTTGACGGAAAGGGGGGCAAGGGGACGGCCGCACCGCCTTTTCCCACCGAGAGCACGGATACACCTGGGGGTCCGGAGCCTGCTATGAAGGAGCATGAGGATGGAGAGGAGAAGAGGTGAATGAAGGTCGGTGTGTGATGAGGTAGATTTTTACAAAAACTCAACTCGTGTGTGTTCTTTTCATGTGGTTACGTTATTATACTCTGGGAAGAAAGAAAAAGGACAGCATCATGGGGTGGGTTTAAGTGGTAAAATCAGGTCGAATGATGCTTTTTAGGTGCATTGTTTGGGATTGATATGGAGGTGGGGAGGAGGAGGGGAGTGGAGGGGAAGGGGGAGAAAGCGGCATGTATCTATGTACTACTATAAACTCTTTTTTCCTTTGTATATGAAATGTAAAAGTATTATGATAGATTGATGGTGTGTGGTGTGGTGGAGGTTGGTGGTGTAAGTGGGAGAATTGTGGTATAGGTTTTTGAGATACCATTCCTCTACTAAGATTACGTTGCTGTTGAGGCTTTGAATCTGTACGGTTACATTATGAATGAGGTCTTTGACGGCGATGATTTTCAGGGACTTGGGGAAAAACATGAAAGAACAATGAAGGGTGGCATCAGACGTTGTTAGTCGGGGGGGGGGAGACAAAACCGGGGATTAGCGGGTTTGTGGGGCCGGTTTCTCGGCTTCTTTTTTTTCTCTTTTTTAGTTGGCTTTGCTCATTAGCGACGTCGTTTTTTGGGGGGAAAGTCGCCGCCACGGTGCCGAACGCAGCTTTTGCTCGGGGTGTTCTATTTCATCAATTTCTGACGTTGTTGATGGATGATACGCTCAGGGCATCAATTGCGCTGCGTCAATAACTCACAGGAATTGAAGAGGATTTTGCTCTCTGGATTGAGAGAGGCTCAGTCTGGAAATAGTTTTCATCTCATCTCAGTCAGCGGTCT